CGACTTATGCATTTTGATAGCGTGTTAAATTATATAGTTTACCATATACTAGTATCGGTACCCTTTAAATATTTCGCTATGTATAAAAGACAAACATGAACTCTATTGACGAATTTCTTTAGTGAAAACCATTCTTAAATCATTCAAAGATCAAAACATAAAAACAAAAAAAGCCTGCAAGAAACAAAATATTTATCAGAATTGAAGAAGACTACTTAAAACAAAGAGACTAATGAGCAATTCCTGGAACAAACCACGTAATTTCTTAGGCCATTCGATTCTACTTGTAGCGAGATCGAAGACACCATAATCTGAAGCACGTTCCTCATGATCTTTATGATCTGGCCAAACATCATCTTCAACAAAACAGATAATACCACTCTTGATTCCATCACCAAAATCTTTAACCGGTGCATTTACTGTTACACCGTGACCAAAAATCAACATCTCATTATCTCCAATAGAATCAACTCTTTCCCATTTGCAACTCTCAAGATTCATCTTAAATACGTAAAACAAAAGCGTCTCTTCATATTTCACTTCTTTTAAGCTCAAGATGATCAAAACCTCTCCTGATTTCTCAATAGCTATTTTTCTCTCCCAAATATATTCCCACGGTTTCTCGTCGAAGTGGAAAGGATTATTCCAATACGGGTTTATGGTTATTTCTCCTCCATAGAAATCGAAAATCTTGATGTGTTGATCAGTTGTGAGCACATACAGGTTTCTGTTTGAACAAGCCACATCACGAAAACCCGAGGAATTTGCGCTTTGGGGTATCAAATTCGACCACGAATCATTTCCTCTTTCGTATGAGAACAAGTAATGCTGTCTGAAAATCCAAGCAACCACATAATCCCCTGTTGTCTCGTTTATCCACAAAACAGCTGAGCTTTTCCATTCGAGGATGTCTCTCGACACGTTATCCGTACGAGAAGGCCCGACAAAGCGTCCATATCCCCCGCCGCCGCCTCCTCTTTCAAAGCTTACTTGTGAACCAAGAAATGGTGAATTCATCGATGGAAGATTGATCCTTTCGCGAGTTACAAGGTTCAAAAGATAGAAATCGAGACGAAAATCAACCATAAAAAGCCAATTCCCGGAGCTAGCCATACGATAGCTCATGCGTAAGTCTTGTACAAACAAGTTTTCTTGTGTAAATCTTGTCTCCTTCGGTTTCCATGGACCTCGAAGAATTACCACCTTGGTGTGTAATGCGTGATGGACACGGAAGCCGATTAACACATGTTTTCCAAACGGAATACCAATCTAAGCAAACAGGTTTTGCTCGGTGCTGATCAATAGGGCTCAAGAAGGTTTCGAAGATCTTTTGTAAAACATCGGGACAAAGCTTGGACCAGTCGCTACATCTCTTCTTCCTTCTCATCAAGTCCATTGGTGTATCCATCTTTGCGTTAACCTAGTAATGAAACTAGGGTTTGTGGTTTTACGTTTTAATCGAAGACTTATGATTACCAAAAACGACGCCGTTTTCACTAATTGGCCAAAAGTATACAGTATATGTACCAACCAAAGCATAATCTCTTGATTTTTTTGCATTTTATGTTTGTCGAATTATTTGGTGAAGGTAGGCTCCGTTTTGAGTTAATCTCACATGCTTTGTTTCCAGCTTGAAAACGTGTACGTAAATTTGTTAAGAAAACAAATTACAACTCTCGTAAATTGATCAAAAAAACATCATAGAAGAGACAGAGAATATGGAGTACAAAGTCGTAAGCAAGAATAGAGGATTTCCAC